GCCCGGGTGTCGAAGCAGTGGAGACCAACACACGGTGAAAGGAGACTGGAGGTGAGGGGGGGGGGGGGGGGGGCATCATTGCAGCTGGCAAGTGCGCGCCTCGATCGAACACTCGGGTTCCAGGGGGAGCAAGAACAGGGCGGCGGCGGCGGCGGCGGCGGCAGGAGGAGGCCTTTCCAGAAATGAGCCCCCGGCGACGGTGCGGGCGCGTCGGGCAAAAGCAAGCACAAGCGTGGATGTGTGCGTGGTGCATGCGCCGGAAGAAGCAGACTGCAAGAGAATGTGCTCCGGGTTGCGATCTGGACCCGCCGATCCCGTGATACCGTGTTCATGACTCCCCTACCATAATACCATTACAACCCCCGGAGGGCAGAGGCGTCCGTGGCACCAACCCCGACCCTCGTGGGGCTTGGGGCTCAAGCGGCCTGCGCCACATCGGCCGGCCTCCGTCGGGACCTCTCAACGTTCTTTCTTCCAAATGTCCCTCTCTCTCTCTCTCTCTCCTCTGTCTCTCTGAGGGCCTTTCCACACGGGAAAAGGCCCGGGGCGCCCTTTCCGGCGACCTGCCCTCGGCCGGTGGTGCCGCCATCTCACTGACCAAGCCCAGGGCCAGGCGCGGCCTGCCAACCGCGAGGTGTCTGGTGGATCCTGTGAGCCTGCTCGAGGCCTCCTTGCACCTCCGCATACGGGGGACCCGCTGGACTAGGACTATCTTCGTGAGCCGTGTCTACATTTGTGCGGAGGCGCTAGCCGGGCATGGTCCCGGCCAGGTGGCGGGGGAGAAGAGCGAGAGAGAGAGAGAGAGAGAGAGAGGGAGAGTGTGCATCCGCGCCGCCGGCACCCGCCTGTGGCTCCTTGTGCCGGCCGAAAGGCCAGAACCCTGGTACCCTCTCGAGGCACTCGGGTTGCCAGCGAGAAGAGGCGTGGAGCGCGTGCTTGTGTCGGCGGCCCCCGCTCCCCCCGCACGCGAGTGCCCCCTGTGGGACGGTGCGGTGCGGTGCGCTTCTGCCCGCCGTTTTAGCCCGCCGCGTGTGCCAGCCCCCTCCCCCGTGCGCCCCCCCCCCCCCCCCCCCACAGTGGCAGGGGGGCAATGTCCGGTCATTGAGCCCGGCGGCCTCCTCGCTCGCCTCTTCCTGCCGGAGGCCGGTCTCTCTTCGGGCGCCCCCCTGGGCCCAGCCCGATGGGGCTAGCCCCCCCCCGCTTGCCCCCCCTTTCTTTTTTGGTTTTGGCACTGCACTCCCTACTGAAGCGCGGACACCGAGCCCCTCGTGTGCCCCCTCCTCAGCCGAGAGTTACTCCCCTAACCTCCCCCGGCTTAGTCTCCTTGCCCTTTCCCTGCCGCAAGCATGTCTCGCCTCGTTCCCCGCCCCGAGAACGCCCTCAAGCGTGCCAATGGTACGGCTGTCCTCCCCCCGGTGCTCGGGCACCGATTCGCTCCTGCCCCCCTGTCGCTCCTTCGTCATGTCCCCGGCTTTCCCGGCTGCCTACCCTGGCCCTTCTCCCCGTCTGGCCTTTCTCCCCCGCCTCTCTCTCTCTCTCTCGCTCTCTCCCTCTGCCGCTGATCCGGTCTCCTCACCTGTCCCATGTCCTTCCCCCTCCCTCCCTCCCCGCGGCCCGCCACCACAGAGCTCCTTGTTGTCGACAAGAAGAGCCTGGCCATCGAGATTCTCCATGAGTCGCTGCTCAACCGCCGCATCCGCGCCTGGTCCCCGGCCGTGGAGGAGGTCATGATGCTCTACATCGACCTGAGCATCGACCTGCGCGAGTCGCGCCGCACTCAGCAGCTGCGCGATGCGCTTACCGCCTTCCGTGCCATCTCCCAGAGCAGCAACCCCTCCTCGGTGGAGAAGGTCATTGACCACCTGTTCGCCGGTGCCGAGAAGCGCTTCAAGGAGGCCTTCGACTCGGCCACCGCCGCGGCCAAGAAGTTCGACCAGGACCTGGACGAGGGCGACACCCCGGAGACCATCATGATGGGCATGGTCACTTCCGAGGACAACCGCGACCGTTCGGACCGCACCCTGCTCGGGCCGTCCATTCGCTTCCTGTGGGATGCCTACAAGATGACCATCGAGATTCTGAAGAACAACTCCAAGCTCGAGTCCCTGTACCATTCCACCGCTCGCCGGCTGTTCAAGTTCTGCCGCGAGCACGGCCGCCGCAATGAGTTCCAGAACATCAGCAAGATCCTGCGCTTCCACCTGGAGGAGGCCATGAAGCAGCTGGATGCCTCCAAGCCCGGCAACTTCAGCATCAACCTCAAGAGCATCAACAGCCTGCGTCTGCAGCTGGACACTCGTCTGGAGCAGCTGGACACCGCCATCAAGCTGGAGTCCTGGTCCACTGCCTTCAGCACGGTGGAGAACCTGCACAGCCTGCTGCCGCTGACTCGCCGGTCCTTCCGCGCCGAGTACCAGGTGGCCTACTACCGCCGTCTGGCCAGCATCTCGCTCATCTCCAACAACTACCTGGCCCATGCCTTCTCCAGCTGGCGCATCTACCAGCTGGCGGACTTCGCCACCGAGGCCGAGCGCCAGGACGCCGCCAACAAGCTGGTCCTGGCCACCCTGGCCATCCCGGCCTCCCGCGGCAAGACCTACCACAGCGGCGGCCGCAACTTCGAGCATGAGCAGCTCAACCGCCTGACCCTGTTGCTGATGAGCAACCGCAAGCCCTCGCGCGCGATGCTCCTGCGCGAGCTCAGCCAGAATGGCGTCATCGCCGCGGCCATCCCCCAGGTCCAGCAGCTGTACACCCTCTTCGAGGTGGACTTCCACCCGCTGTCGATGGCCCCGCAGTTTGCCCCGATCTCGGCCTTCCTGGCCGAGAGCCCGGAGCTGGCTCCCTTCCTCAAGTCCCTGCAGGAGGTCCTGCTGGGTCGCCTGCTCTTCCAGCTGAGCCTGGTGTATGACACCATGAAGCTCTCGGCCCTGGCCGAGCTGGCTCCCTTCTTCACTGCCGACGAGATTGAGGCCTTCCTCCTGGCCATGTGCCGCAGCAATGACATCTCCCTGGCCGTGGACCATGTGGCCCAGTCGATTCGCTTCAAGTCCGCCGTGCGCCAGGACCTGGCTGTGCGTGTTTGCCCCTGTCGGCTCCCTTCGCCTTCGCTTTTGCTCCGGCATTGCCCACTCACCCTCTTCCTTGTATGCCCCCCCCCCTCGCGCTATCTCTCCCTCTCTCTCTCTCTCCCCCCCCTCTCCCTGGGGTCTTCGTGCCTGTCCTTCCATCGTCTTCGTTCGCCCCCGCCCCCTTCTCTGCTCCCCGCCCCCATGCTCCTCTTCCGCTCATCCACCAGGCCAAGGGCGTCCAGGCTCACATGCTGCAGGTTGCCCAGGACCTGGCTCCCATCTCCGAGAAGATCCGCCCCAGCGCCGCCACCTCCATGGAGGACACCCGTGCGGCCTTCTTCGACCAGATCCGCGAGAGCCTGGAGTCCGAGCACTCGACCGCCATCAACCGCAAGGAGCAGTTCGACTACGCCAAGGACATGCAGGAGCGCAAGGCCCGCGAGCGCATGCTCACCGAGAGCCGCCGCCGCATTGAGGAGATGCGCCTGAGTGCCGAGGCCGAGCGCGTTCGTGTCAACGAGGAGTCCACTCGTCGTGAGCTGGAGCGCCTGCAGGCCGAGCGTGATGAGGCCGTCCGCCAGTCGCGCATTCGCCAGACCCGCGAGCTGGAGGCCCGCGCGGCCGATCTCGGCATCAAGCTGGACCTCGGTGACGTGGAGGACATGTCCGCCGAGCAGATCATGGCTCGTCAGCTGGAGCAGCTCAACGCCGAGAAGGCCGAGATCCACAACCGCCTGTCCAAGCTGGCCCAGCACATCGACTACCAGGTGCGCGCCCTGCGCCTGGCCGAGGTGCCCATCCTCAAGGAGGACTTCAAGGCCGCCGATGCCCGGGACCTGGCCCACCACGAGGCCTACGTCCAGCGGAACACCGAGCGCGCGCGCGAGCTCCACGCCAAGGGTCTCCAGGTCAAGAGCTGGGTCCAGGTGGTGGTGTCGGAGGTCGACCACTTCAAGGCCCGGTCGGCCGCCTTCCTGGCCGAGATCGAGCGCCAGAAGGAGGAGGAGCGCCGCATCCAGGAGGCCGCCGCCGCCGAGCAGCGCCGTCGCCAGGAGGAGCTCCAGCAGCAGCGCCTGGCCGAGCAGCAGCGTGCCCGCGAGGCCGCCGCCGAGGCCCTCCGCATCAAGCAGGAGGAGGAGGCCATCCGCGCCAAGGCTCACGAGTCGCAGCAGCTCCGCACCATGCAGTCGGAGCAGGTTCACCTGCGCAAGCTGGACACCCTGCAGCGCGAGCGCGATGAGCTGGACAAGGCCCAGGCTAGCCTGCGCATGGCCAGCCCCACCGGTGTGGGTGCCGCCTCCTCGGCGGCGGCGGCCGTCCCGGCCACGGGCGGCCCCATCCGCGGCGGTGCCTTCGGTGGTGGTGCTCCCCGTTCCACCTTTGGCGGCCCCCCCTCCAGCGGTGGCTACCAGCGCCCGGGCTTCGGTGGCGATGGCCCGCGCGGTGACTGGCGCGGTGCCCCGGGCGCCGGCCCGGCTCACTCTGCTGCCGGTGGCAGCCCGGCTCCCTTCGGTGGCCGTGGCTCTGCCCTGCCCTCGGGCGCCTCCGCCGGCGGCGGTGGCTTCCGCTCCGGCTTCGGTGGTGCTCCCCCGGCTGGCGGTGCCCCGGCCGATGGCAGCATGATGCGCGGCTCGCGTGTGCCTTCCTCCTCCTCCTTCGGCGGTCCCCGGGATGGTCCTGGTGGTGCCCCGGGCGGTGGTGCCGGTGGCTTCCGGCGCTCTGCCCCGGGTGCCGGCGGCCCGCCCGGCTCCGGCCCCATGGCTCCCTTCTCCCGCTCGGGCGCCGGTGCCCCCATGCGCTCTGGCGACCAGTCGCTGGCCGGTGTCTCGCCGGCTCGCTCCCCCGCCCCGGGTGGTGCTCCCCAGCCTGATGATGATGGCTTCGTCCCGGTGTCCGGCTCCCGCCGTCGCCGTTAAGCCGAAGGAGCAGCCCCTCCTGCGCGCCGCCGCCCCCCCCTGAGCGGCGGCAAACGGCCAGAGGAGCAGGCGAGAAGGGGCCACCAAGACCGATGACGGCGTGTGACTCCGTGTCCCCGTTCCCGCGTGCCGCCCTCCTTCTCCGCGCCTCCCATGGGGGAGGGGCGAGGCCGGGGGGGGGGGGGGCGACAAGCACACGAGCCGCCCAGCTGTCGGCCCCTTCCTCTGCTCTGCGCGCCCCATGTCCCCGCACTGGGGCGTATCCTTTTTCCCCTCTCCCGCGCGCCCCATGATGATGTGCGCAGTTCGCGACGCGGCTCGGCGGCATGGGCCGGAGGGGGGGGGGGGAAGGTACCGGCCCTACGCGCGCGTCACAGAGCAGCCCCTCCCCCCACCCCCCTCCACAAAATCCAATAAACCTTGTTACCTACTATTTCTCTGCGTTGGCACCATGTCTCCTGGCGTGCCTGTCTCCAGCCGCTCTCGGCTGCGGGGGGGAAGTGGCGGGAGCGGGTGTTCTGCTCTCCCCCGCTTATTGTGGGGTTCGCAGTCGGCGGGCCCCTTTTGTCGAGGCGCAACCAAGTGCCCCCGTCTCCCGGCCTCGCCCAGGCCGCCGTCACTTTCATCCTCCCCCCGCGTCCCCGTTTTTGTCCCCGCCCCCGCCCCCCCCCCCCGCCTCCCAGCCCTATTCCGTCTGTTGATCGGGCCTGGTCCTCGGTGCCTTTGCCTGCCTTTCCCCCCTTCGGCCGATTTGCTGCCATGCTTGCGCGGGCTTTGGCCTCGGCGCGGGGCCGCTCGCCTCACCTGGCCGCCAGGGCCGCCATCTCTTCCTCTGCCGTGCGCCCGGCGCCGCACGACAACCCCGAGCTCATCCGGTCCTACTTCTATTTTGTCGACGAGCATGGGCGCCTTTTTCTGGATGGAACCCGCATGAAGAATTTCGTGTCCTGTGCGTCTGCCATCCCCGCTGGGTGCCCGTACCGGGGTGCCTTGCTGCCCGTAAGTGCTGACTGGCCCGCGCCGCTCGCCGACCCTGCACCGGGCTCCTCCCGGTACTTTGCCTCCTGACGGCAGGCTTCAAGGAGGCGGACTTTTTGCGGATGTTCTTCAGTGCCGTCCGACCGGCCGGCGCGCCGCCGCCTGCGCGCCCCGCGGCCCCGAGCCCGCCCTCCATGCTGGGCCCCTCCTCTGCCGAGGGCGCGGTGGCTGCCTCGTCGCTGCACTACTGGCCGGAGCCCGACCGGCTGGCGGCCTTCCGCTGGGTGTCCCCCTGTGCCGGGGAGTACAATTACATTGCGGCCGACGACACGCCGGTGGTGTTCACTCTGCTGGAACGGCGCCCAGTGGCGACCGATGCACCGGGCACCGTCGGCCACTCGGCCGAGCAGCAAGCCGACCCCGGCCTGCCGCACGCGGCAATCGACCCCGGCCAGCCGTATGACTTGTGCTGGGCCGCTGACCGGCGGGTGCCCTTCCGCCCGGAGCTCCTCCGAGCCGATCCGCGCACCGGGCGACTGTACTACCCTGCTCCGTTGCGGACCCTGCGCCGGGGGGATCCGGCTCGGGCTCGCGTCGAGGCGACGGCCGACGCGGCGGGCATCCCCTCGGCTTCCAGCGTGGGCCATGCCCTTGTGGCCAGCCGGGTGACCATTGCCCTGATGCCATTTCTCCTGGGGGCCGGTGATGACGGGCCCGATGGGGGGGCCTGGTCGCTTGAGTGGCCATCCCCCGGCAGTGCCATCCCCATCCCGGCATTGTCTCTCAAGGACCTGGAGCCTGCCCAGTGAGCACCTCTCATGCCGACCATCCCTGTGACATGCGTACATCCCCCCCCCCCCCCCCCTCCTCGGGCGGGTGTACTCGGGCGGTGTGCTCGGATGGGCCGAATGTACACACCAGCGGCACATGGGTGTCCCGATGTCCCCGCACTCTCTTTCTTTGCCTCGCTGTTGCTCCTTTTTCCCTCCCGATAGCCTGCTCCCCCTCCTCCCTGTGGGGCCTTTTCCAAGCCCCCATTCCTTGCTCGCCGTGTCCCGAGGAGGGGAGGGGTATATTGTGCAGGACTCCCGCCCGGACCTGCCAGGAGGGTGCGCATGCATCCGACTCCCCCTCAAAGGAGCAACTGCAGAGCCGCCACTGCCAAGAGGGCCACCAGGGCCATTTGGAAGGCAGACCGACCGGTCGGGATGCGCCGCGACACAGCCGCATTGTAGCAGTTGACCGGCGGCAGCATGGAGCAGTAGAGGGTTGTCGTTTCGCCTGGGCGAAGGACCGCTCGCCGGAAGCCGTGGCAAGTGGCCGAGCTGTTGATGACCCGGTGGCAGAAGTTCCGACAGGGTGGCTTCACGGTTCGGCGCTTGTACAGAGCATTGGCATTGTTGCATGTGAAGCTGGGACACGGTTGGGCCGTCACACGCGGCCCGTTGCAGCACAAGCAGGAGCAATGGGGCCCCGGGAATCGAAGCGGGAGGGCAGAGTCCATGGGGGGGGGGGGGGCATGTCAGTGAAGAGAGACACGTCGGGACGAAGAGGAGAACCTGAGAGAGGGGCCCCAAGAGGGCACATGTTCCTCCCCCCTCTTCTCCTGCGGAAAGGGAGGGCGAGAGGCGGATGGAGAGAAAGCCAGAGAGGGAGAGAAAGCAAGAGAGGGAGAGAAAGCAAGAGAGGGAGAGAAAGCAAGAGAAAGCCAGAGAGGAAGAGGGAGGAAGAAACGCACCCAGCACGAATGTTCTGTACCCACATGACAATGTAGCAGAGATCCGAGAAGAGGGCCTCGCAGATGGCCCGCTCTGTGCCCCACTGCGGCCCCACCAGGCGATCGTATCCCCGATGGTCGAGGTCCATCAGGTATAGCCGTGCCTGGTAGGTCATGTTGTAGGAGTTGAAGTCGGCCATGGAGGAGCTACAGCGGGGGTAGTGGAATTGGCTGGAGGGCTCCATGGCAGCCGTGGCATCAGTCGTGTCGCCGGCTGGCCGGAGGTCGGTGGTCTCGGTGGCCGGGTCGAACTGCCGTGGGAAGGCCCGGCCCTCGGCCCAGAAGGGGAGAAGGTCGTCATTGGGCATGGTCGGCCCGGCGTCCGTTGTCCCGGTGGGAACCGGGTAGGGGGTGGGCCCGAGAGCCAGCTCGGGATAGAACTGCGAGTAGCAGCGACTCGCCGGGGCGTCCGGCAGGTAGCACAGGTCATTGGATCGACAGAAGCCATATGGCCCGGGGAGCTGGGGCCCAGCAAAATGCCATCCGCCGAGACCAGAGGCAGGGCCGGGG